CAAATCAATAAAATAGAAACAGAACAATACATAATCAATGGATCTTCAAGAAAATCAACAAGACAGACAAATGCTTAGCCAAACTAAACAAAAGGCAGAGAGGAAATATCCAAATTAACAAAATCAGAAATGAAAAGCAGAGCATAGCAGTGAGGAAATCCAGAGAATCATTAGGTCATACTTCAAAAACCTGTACTCCACAAAATTGGAAAATCTAAAAGAAATGGACAATTTTCTGGACTGGTACCACATACCAAAATTAAATCAACAATTTAAATAGATGTATAATCCTTTATGAAATAGAATCAATCATTAAAAGTCTCCCAACCAAAAGATGCCCAGGGCAAGATTGTTTCTGCACAGAATTCTAATAGAATCTTAAAGAAGAGCTAATACCAATACTCTTCAAATTATTCCATATAATAGAAACATAAGGAACATGGCCAAACTCTTTTTTATAAGGTTGGAGTTACACTAATACCAAAACCATACAAAGAAAGAGATTTACAGACCAAGCTCCCTCATGAACATTGATGCAAAAATACTCAATAAAATACTAGTAAAGTGAATATAAGAACACATCAAAAAATCCATCATGATCAAGAAGGATTCATCCCAGAGATGCAGGGATAGTTCAAGTTATGAAAGCTTGTCAATGTAATCCACCATATAGACAAACTGAAAGAAAACACGTGATAATCTCATTAAATACTGAAAAATCCTTTGACAAAATCCAACACGCCTTCATGATAAAGGTCTTGGATAGATCAGGGATAACAAGACCATGCCTAAACATAATAAAGACAATATACAGCAAGGAGACAGCCAACATCAAATTAGAGAGAAACTCAAAGCAATTTCACTAAAATCAGAAACAAGAAAAGGCTATCCTCTTTCTCCATATTTATTCAATATTGTATTCAAAGTTTAGCTAGAACAATAAGACAACAAAAGGAGATCAACGAAATACAAATCAGAAAGGAAGAACTCAAACTATCGCTTTTAGCAGATAATATAGTATAATTACGTGACCACAAAAATTCTACCCAGGAAATCCTACATCTGAAAAACACCTTCAGTAGTATGGCAGGACTCAAGATTAACTCAAAAATGGTGAAGGAACTGAGAAAGAAATCAGAGAAACATCACCCTTTACAATAGCCACAAACAACATAAAATACATTGGAGTAACACTAACCAAACAAGGAAAAGACCTGTATAACAAGAACTTTGAGTCTTTAAAGAAAGAAATTAAAGAAGTTCCCAGAAAATGGAAAGATCTCCCATCCTCTTGGATAGGTAGGATCAACACAGTAAAAATGGCAATATTACTAAAAGCAATCTACAGATTTAATGCAACCCCCATCAAAATCCCAGCACAATTCTTCACCTTCACTTTTCGAAATACATGGTTTGAGACTCCTTTCACATTAAACTACTAAATAACTCTCAAATTACAGAAAGTACCCTTGAAGTTAAGAATGGCACATGGTATTTCCAAGTTTTCGGGGAATGCACAGTGTAAGGTGGAAAAGAGAAGAGAAAACCATTAATTTAAGAGTACTACCTTAATGATTGTACTGCCAGAGGCCGCAGTATTTATCCCTAGTGCAGAAATGGACTTTGGGAGCCCATTCCCTATGGAGGGATACTCTCTCAACCTACATACAAAGGGGAGGGCCTAACTCCTGCCCTAAATGATGTGTCAGACTTTGATGATCCCTCATGGGCAGAGTCACCCTCCCTGAGCAATAGGATGGAGTTGCTGGGGAGCATGGAAGGATAGGAGGGAGAGGGAACTAGAATCAGTATGTAAAATAAGATTGTTTTTAATTTAAATAAAAATTTATCTAAAAAAAGAAGGGAGACAATGAAAAAAAAGAATACTACCTTACTTTTGGGTTCCTTAAAGTGTCTTCAGTCTTGAACTCTTTTACTTTCCACCTACATCCTAACAAGTAAGAATCAGTAACATGTACCTACAAATGTCTTGCAAACCTCAAGTGCTTTGCAACCTGGCAAAGCACAATGGCATTGAACTAATTCTTCCCAGAGGATCTAATAGTTAAGTTTACAACCAATTTTTTCAACTTTCCTCAGAAATATAAGCCTAAGAAATGTGAGGGAAATAGAGGAGCATCATGTTAATGAAAGCAAAGCTGACTAGAGCATACTCCTAACCTTGCAAGGCAAGGGTTGAAAGTGGACTCCTGTATTCCACACTCTTTTCCTTCCTTCTGTTGCTTCAAGAGATCAAGTTATAATAGTGGCTCAATGCAAGTCCTTCAAACATCCACTATTTCACTCAGGTGAGAAGACCACTATATGCTCTTCTAATTGCAAGGTCTTTGAAATAATTTTCATCTAGAATAAAATGCAAAAATACTCCTTTGCTTCTGAAAAAAAATCCCATTCCTGGGGTTGTCAAGCTGTAAAGAATCCTGAGTCAAAAGCCAGAGGTTACAGAATACTGGAAACCCACTCAGGTAGCTAGCCTGTGTGCACTATCTGTTTCACAGGCAACGAGAACCAGAGCAGTGCTTTAAGAGCTGTGATATGTGGAGTCCCTTAAATCAGGAGGTTAGCAAACAAAAATGGCAAAATGGAACTGATGTCTCTAGAGGCTATGATGCTGCTGTTTTTATGAGTAGAATTCATTATATGGTGGCAATTCAGAGGACCCTCCTCCACTTCCCAACTGTGATTCCTACTATGATATGTAATCCTCTTTACCATTGATTATGAGAACTTGTATTCCTTGTTCCTTTCCCATGTAAGGGATTGCCAGAAACAGCTTTGAAACATCTGGAAATCACAAGTTTGAAGTAGGTCACTGAACTAGCTTCTAGTTATCAGCAGGATGATGATATTCCTGAGGCTCTAGGGGAGAGAGAATTCATGACTGTCTTTTCCAGCTTCTTGACACCATTCAGATGCCTCCCTGTCTCACATCTTCCCTCATCTTCAAAGCTAGCAATGGCCAGTCAAGTCTTTCTCATGTCTCCTTTCTCTGACAATCTTTATGATTTCAGTATCCACTGTGGTGGCTGAGGTCCTCCTCAACTCTAGAGCAACTGATTTAGCAGCTTTAAATCTGCCTGAAGACATAACAGATCCCTTGCCTTGTCAGCATCTTAGCATATTCATAGTTTCTGGAATTCAGAATGTGAATATTTGTTGCTGGGCATTGCTCTACCTACCGTAGACTTCACAAGGTTTTGTGAGAAACAAAGTAAACAACACAACATGAAAAGTACTTACTTATATATTATCTGAAGAAAGTGTTCAGTATATGTTATTCACATGTACACATGTGAATGTTATATGTTGTTCACATGTAAAAGGAAATCAAGTATGCAACCCTAAGTTTAATTTTACTGACAAAACTCAAAGTGAACACAGATGGGTACAGTGACTAGATGTTGTAGGCATTTAACGTGTTTATGCACATTGTACTTTTACATCTCCCATATGGAACAGGTTGAGTTACTGCAGACAGAGAATTATCAGTCTCAGATTTCATAAGATTATTGTTTCAGCTGTGACAAGAAAGTGTGCCAAGGAAAACTGTTGACTTGCTGGAGTTACCACAAAGCCCAGGCCATTAAGCAAGCAGGATGCATCTCCAAAGGGCATCAGAAGGCACAGAGTATCCACTAAGGACCTCTACAGAGAAAAACAGGAGTGCTGCTGTCTCTGCTATCTATTCCACTCCATTCAGCTCTGCGATCTACATTACTGTCTATTTCTTGTCTTTTAATCACTTCACAGAAGTCAAGTGTCCTTGGAAGAGACTGCAGAGGGTAGCATGCATCTCATGCCATTGATTCTAAATTAATTTGATATTTTAACTCACAGCTATTGCACTTCCTGGGCTGATAAAAATCTTAGGGTAATTTATTTTTCCACAAATAAAGCCTGGCAGTAGATGATTTAGGGGCAAAATTACTTGCATACATATTTCCACTTAAATAGAAACAGAAAATTTTGAACGCATATAAGAATACTTTTACTATAGGAATAAATATACAAAATAATAAATACATCAATTAATTATAAGAATTTGTATAATATATATTTAATATTTTTACATATATCTGTGCATATACACACTTACATACACACACCTATATGTGTATATGTAATATTCTCCTTCAAAAGGCACAATCTGTTTTTGTATCTTTTCTCTGGAAATGATAAGAGTAAAGTTTTAAACTTTATCTAGATGTTAACTCTCATAGAAAGATAGAAGAAAATAATGTAAGTTATTCTTTATTGATCTTTGAGTCATGAATATTACCTGTGTTACCCAAAGGTGTTTTTAAATTTCAACAGACTTTTTACCTTTTACTATAAAGTACACTGATGTCTAACAGATATAAGAATTGCACAGCAATAGCCATACATACTATCCTAATACAACATCCTAGGCTTGCATTGACTACATGACAAATACTGTTCAAGTCTAAATTTCACAATATTTAATTCTGTATTTATAATTTCTATGTCTTGATAAAATAAAAGCTCAAATATAAAAGTAAAATAGAAACACATTTCAATTAGAAGAATGGAAATTACCCTTTTACCCATTATAAGCTTAAAATGAGAATTCTCCAGTGAAAATGTACTCAGAGCAGGACAAAAATCAGTGTAGATAACACAAAGTTTTCCAGAAACAGGTGCCTACAGTTTCCTGTAACCTCAAAGGGATTCTATATTCTCTCTCCCTTAAAATATTTTGATATTTATATAAAATAGGCAACTTGTTGAAGCTCTAAGATCTCACTAAGACCACATTTTACAAAGAAAACAGTATTCCAGACCTAAATAATTGATAGCCTCAAATATATAAAACCATGCTTGTACAACTATGCTCTTCCAATACTAGGCTGTAAGAGTCTCTGTATTTCTACTGACTTTTAAATCCCCTATTCTCAGTGAAGTAAGTACCACTGCAAACAATAATGAAGGCATGGGACCTTCATAAAAGTGTTACTTACTTGGTATGCTGCGAAGTGGAGGAGGTGGCACATTGTTAATGGCCACCATGTGAGCAAGAATAGCTGTTGGAAGAGAATCCATGGGCATTTTGGCAGTTTATAAAGCAGATTGGCAGAGGCTGCTTGACTGGAAGAGGACCATCCTTCTCTTTGGAGCATCATAAAGAAGAACCTTCCAGGTGCTCTCTGATAGGCCCAGCTCACAGAATCTTCTTGTCCACAGTTCTTATGTAAGAATGGGGCTATAGCAGAAAGAATTCATCTATTTCAGTGGAAAATGAAAGAGGTTACATGAGCTCCAGAGCTAAGTAAAATGAAGAATGACACCACAATTCACAAGGTAGACACAATCTAATATAAGTACTCATAACTTTTAAGTTAGATTTTTTTGTCTTGCATAATTTAGAATCCTTTCTTTGTGACCTGGTCATAGTAAATCAAAGGTGATTTTGTAGCACCAGCAACAGAAAAAGTAGAATTATTCTACTCTTCATGTCTGTAACAAAGGATAACCCATCATTTCTAATTATCACAAACCAATAATCACCTCCTGCATACCTAGTGACAAAATTGAGTTGTTGTGTGGCATGAATTTCAATTGTTTTTGTCTTAATCACAATGGTCAAGGCTACTATAAATGTTGGTATGTTGGGAAGGAGAAGGCAGCACTGTTGATAGCTATCATGTAAGGCAAACTACTGGAAGAGAAGAAAGGCATCCTTTCAGCTCCAAGGCAGCTGCTCAGAGGTTACTTGGGTAAACAAATGCATTAGTGTAATTATATTCTTTGTATCATATTTTGGGTCCTGAAATACACACACTCACACACACACACACACACACACACACACAAATTATATATATAATTTCCCCTTCTACCTGTAGATCCCAAGGATTGAAACCACATCAGTAGGAACCTTTACTGGCTTGACCTATGTAGTAAGCCCTCATATTTTCACCTTTTCTCTATTTCATATAAACAAACCACATACATTGAAAGATTATAAGAGCATAGAAATTTCATATTAAGTTAAATCTTTCTTGAAGCTATTTACTTACTTTACTCTAAGTGTATGTAGGTGTGTGGTACATATATCCATACATGAATGTGTGGAGGCCAAGGTACAATACCAGGTGTCTTCCTTTACTGACTTCAATCTTATTTCTTCAATCTTTTGTTTGTTTTTCAATACAGTGTTTCTCTGGGTAGCCCTGCCTATCCTGGAACTCTCTTTGCAGACTAGGTTTGCCTCAAACTCAGAGGTTTACTGGTCTCTGCTTCCTGATTTCAGGGATTAAAGGAGTCCACCATCATTGCCAAGCTCCATATCACTTTTTTTAAGACAAGATCACTCTCTGAACTTGAAGTTTACTGACTGTCTAGACTGGTTGACCTTGAGACTCTCTGTCTCCATCTCCCAGCTGTGGAATTAACAGGTACTCACTACACTCCTAGCTTTTGTGTGGCTGCTGGAGATCTGAACTCAGGTCCTCCAGCTTAATGGGAAGTTCTTTATCCAGTTAGCCATTTCCCCAGCCTGATTGAAAAAAATTGAAAAGAAAATATGCTTGATGAAAATGCAATAAACAAAACATTTATAAGGGGGAAACAGTAAAATAGTTTCTTAGTTTTATACAAAATCCATGTATACTCATAATAATGTGCGCTTGTTTATTTAGAAACACCATAAGTTCACAAACACAACTCCCTCAGAATGTTTCTGATTAGTTCTTCTAATGTTTCCAAATCCCTTTCAAGTGTGTCCTAAGAATAATAACATAATCATGTGGTTTTTATTTGATAGACAGATGCATTAAATTACACGATTGGGACTTCCTGGATAATCATTTACAAATCTACACATTCCTCAACCAATTATTTGTAAAAATTACCTTGGCCAACTCATTTAATCTGCCTTAATCTTAATAACCTACTCTATACAATAGGGATAAAGTGTCTCACACAAATGATTTTTAGGGAAGTAGAAATTATTTAGAAAGGACTTATTGGAAATTTACAAAGTAAAATATTACTATTCTTCCATCACTCTACAGCTATAGATTCTTCAATAAAAAATTTACCTGACCATCCCAGTACATAAGAGTACAGGAGGATTTTTCAGAGATGGATTCATTCATTGAGCTGCAATTTTGCAAACTTCCATATTCAGCAGATTGAAAGGTTAAGCCTATGATGGAGAGGCTTGCATACACACAAAAAGGTGGTACCTGTTTGAAATCCGATGGAGTAATCATTCAGTCTAGAGCTCATACTCTGAAACTAGATGAAGTAAAGATGAAAGAAGGGAAAATGAAAGAGGAACAAACTAAGCAGCTTTTAGAATTGCTCATGAGGGTGATTGCGAAAGCTATAAGTAAGCCACGGTGCCAGAAAAGGAACAGGAGTATTGAACATTCATGGAAATTGGAAAAAAGATTTTCAGAATTCATCACTTATTACTATAAATTCATATATGTCTCAAATTCAATTATTTCAGGGAATAATTAAGCATTATAAGATATAACTCAATTAATAGATATTAAAATAAACAGCAAGGTACATAATCAAAGTAAATGAAGTCAATATATAACAGACATACTTGGATGGATGTCCATGCTTATTGTGATATTATTCACACTAAATATGGAATCAACAATGGTACCATGAACACATAATACAAGTGAAAAATATGACTAGCATAGAAAATGATTTATTGTTCCAAATGTGAAAAAGAATAAAATCATGTCATTCATAGGAAATTAATGAAACTGAAGGACATCATGTTGCACAAAATCCCAGAAACAGAAGTCACATTTCTTCTCCTATGTACAAATTTTTAAAAATGAATAAAAACTGGAATATAAAAAGAGGGACAATTAAGAATCCAGGCAGATTTGGGACCCTACTCCTCATACTGTGCTGCATTGCCCAGCCTTAATACACGGGGAGGTGCTTAGTCTTACTGAAACTTGATATGCCATGTTTTGATGATGATCACAGAGAACCTACCCTTTCCTAAACAGAAACATTTGAGGAGTGAATTGGGAGTTGGGAACACAGGGATAATGCGGGGGACTAAAAAGAGAGGAGATAGCAGAAACTGCAACCAGAATGCAAAATAAATGAATAAATATATTTTTAAAAAGAATCTTGGCATAGGATAGGGTAAGAGAAGGAGAGAAAAGGAGAAGGTTGAAGGAAGAGTGGATGTGATCTAGGCATGATACATCCCTATGTAGAAATGTCACAATGAAACGCTTTGAGTTATTCAGTTAATAGATATTTGAAAGTGGTAGTGGTGGTGGTGTGGGTGACACAGCCAGTATGCATTAGGGCACCCTTTTTGGCAATACTCTCATTTAGAAACTCCACACAAACTTATCTACAACACCCAAAGAAATGGGTACAATACATTGCCTTTATTTTATAGATGAGAAACCAAGGTTCATAGTGGTAATTAATATGATAATCATACAGAACAGAAATAGTCTTAGCATTTGTTATTGCTTGTGTTTTTGTTTGTTTTTGCCTCTAGTGAAAAAAGCGAAATGGGTTGGGCCTGAAAAGATATGATTAGGAGTGGTTTAGTAAAAAGACAGTACACAGTATTCTTGGTCTCACTCCCAACAATTATTTTCTCTGTCCATGTTTGTAATGTTTGAATAAGATAGCTCCTATAAGTATCAGTCACTTGAATACCTGATTCCCATTTGGTAACCTGTTAGGGTATATTAAAATGTGGCCTTGTTAAAGGAAGTATGTTACTGCAGGTAGGCTTTCAACTATTTCTAGTTATCTCCTTGCTTCCTCTTTGGGGATGAAGATGTGAGCTCCCAGCTTCTGGTCTGATACTATGTTTGACTGCTTACTGCTGTGCTCCCAACCATGATTGTGATGAACTCACCGTCTTAATCTGTATGGCTCAAATAAGCCATTCCTTGAATTGGTCATGATAGTTCATCACAGTAATAGAAATATAACCAATATAATCTTCTTCAGAAAGCACATACACAATTTTGAACTCTATTCATATGCATGAGTACCATTTAGTCATAAAAGCTCGCTCGAAGATTAAACCAGATACAATATGACTTTATAAACCTGAATGTAATTGTAAAAAGATATACTCTTAAACAACCTCTTATTTTTTAAGATTTTTTTAGTTACGTATATGTATATGTGTGCCTGTGTGTAGATATGTGTGCATAAGGTAAAGTGCTCTCCTAGACCAGAAGAGGGTGTTGGATCCCCTGAAACTGGAATCAAAAGCAGTTGTGAGCCATCTGATGTCAGTGCTGGGATCCAGCCTCAGGTCCTCGGGAAGAGCAGTGCATATTCCTAATCACTGAGCCATCCATGCACTCTTTACCACTGAGTCACCATTCCGTTCCAACAGCTGATTTCTTAAAATATACAATGATTTTTAAATGAGTCTCAACAGCCTTGACCAACAACATCAGAACAATGTTTTGCACCAACTCTTTTCATAAGAAACAAAACTCTTCGGAGGGAAAAGCAGAATGTTTTAATGAGGAAGATGGCTGTTCTAAATTACCCTAATGTTATGAATACAGATGAATGTAAAGGAAAAACCCCACCTCACATGACATCAGTTGTTTGGAAGAATAATTAGTTGAGTAGTCTGGAAAGCCACTAAGCTCTGAAAGCCTGCTCAGATTTGCTAACATGGCGCCTCCCATACCAGCTTTCTGATAAGAACATTTGAAGCACATTTACTACATTATATAGGAAAACTTCTAAAATGTCTGCTCTAAACCGACTTTTAAATTCTTTTCCTTTTTAAGTACTCACAGGCAGATGGAGGCTCCTTATTGAAGTTGGCTTTTTGCTAAATGAAATAAAGACCATAAAATGTTCAGATTATGTGGGAATTTTTTAAAAGATTTCCCATTTCACATTAAAACATGTTTCACTAGATGCTAATATCCTAAACTCCTAATGTCTTACTATGAAAGTCACAAACCCATTTGTACTCTACGTACAATCCACCTCTTTCAATTTATTTAATCAAATATTGGCCTCAGTACCATTGCAAGGGAAGACAAATTTAAAGCATTTCTGTGGGAATATCTGTTCTCAGGAAAATAATGATAGAGTGGCCAACAATATCTGTAGGCTTATTCCACTGGCCAAGCAAAGTTACTTCCATACATCATCTGCTATCTAATTTGATCAATGAAAGAGTCTTTGCAGCAGAAACTGACACTGTCCCTATTTTGTCAACTAATGTTTAGATTACATTAAATGAGTCTCTAAATTTTCCAGTCACTAAAACATGACTCCATTATTGAAATCCAGGCTCACTCCACAGCCTGTTGGTTCAGCGTTGATTCATGCAAAGGAAAACATGTTCAACAACCGTTTCCTCAGATGTGTTTTCAATGCTAATATCCCCAGTTGGAAGGAAACCCTTGCAATAGCAAGCCACTGTTCATAGTGTAGACATAACCTGGTTGTTCCATCATGCTGTGAATAGTGGCTCTCACTGAATGGTTTAGATCAACAATCTGTTTCTTTGTTAACATCCCTTTAAATTCAAAGAATTTTGCACTCCAGGTGCTCAAATTCATTTAAATCTTAAAGTAAAAAGTAAATTTAAAAGTGAAATAAAAATATGAGCTATGTCTCCTGGCCTTAGAGAGAAAATAATTCACTATGTTTTACTTCTATCCTCTTATGTTTTCTTTGATATGACTAAGATTTTCCAGAAGACTCAGTTGGTCATATTCACAACTACCTACAGAGGTACCTTGGAAGAGTCACCCTGGTGTGAATGGTTAGTGGAATTGTTTTTATCCTGGAGCAAGACAGTAACATCATAACAAAAAGGCATTGAACAAAAAAGATATTCACTATGTGACATGAAGAAAGCAGAGAGGTAGGGTTCTGGAAAAGCATATACCTACAAAGCCATGGCCCTATTCATCCAAGAGGCTCCATCTCCAAATGGTTCACATAGTCATTATCAGTGGTTTAATCTAGTGATAAAGTTGAGCATTGCTGATCCAAATACTAGCAATTAATTCTTTATTTAACACAGGAACCTCTAGGAAATATTTTTGTTTCAAATTATAAAAAGTAAAACAATCCAAAACCATGTTTCCTGGCTGTTGTCTCTTTTCACACATATTTCAGGAGTAAATATTATTTTTACCACATGTCTTCCAATATTTCCAAGGTTGTGCATAAGTGACTTTTTCTTATCTCCTAGTATTTTATTTAATATTCATGGAGGAATATAATGCATTTGGGTCAATCCACTCCTATTCCAGCCTCTCCAATTATTGTCCTGTTCCACTTCCACTATGTCCTCCCAACTTCATTTGTTCTCTTATGTTTAGCAAAGTCTACTTTGCTGCCTGTATGTGCATGGGTAGAGGGGCATTTACTGGAGCATAGGCAGCCTCTCAAGGAAAGCATCCCTAAAGAAAAGGGAATACCCAGCAGCCATCAGTTGCTAATAGCTCCTCACATAGTTTCTCATATAAGCCCATCCCCATCCATGCTGGGACTGTGGCTGACTTGACCCTGTGAGAGTTTCTATGTGTAGTTCCTTCCCTGTGAGCCTTTATTTAGTAAATAATGTGCCACACACATCTATCCCTTCTGCATCTTGCAATCTTTCCATACCCTCTTATGACCTCTGAGATTGTGGGGAGAGGCTGTGAAATAGGTGTCCTATTAGAGTTGAGCACTGTATCAGCTCTTATTCTCTTACAGGTGACTGACTGGTTATAGGGTTTTATACCATATACTGCAAAATCATAACTTGTAAGAAGGTACCAGTCAGTTCCTCCTGTTTTTTCTGAACACAATCCCATTGTCATTTAGACTTGACATTTTAGGGACTGTGACTTTGATGCACTTTACTATTTGAAGTTACTTAGAGATATGTTCTGAGTTCTGTTTTTCCCGTGATTTAAGGAGGAACGTTATTCTTCTTTCTTTATTGCTCTAGTCTTCCACCCTACACTTCCATAAATCACTATAATTTGCACCACACAGTATACTATCTGTACAAGGTATCCCGTAGCAACTTCTGAAATGGCCCATAATATTGTAAATTATTGTGCTGTTTTAGTAAAAGAACATTTTTAGGTAAATATCCTCTGTTGTGCACTTTTCCTCCAAAGAACTACCCATCCATAATAAAACATGCTAGTGGTCATAATTTTCTGTTAGCGTGTTTTTTCTTTCTTTTTTCCTTCCTTCCAACCTACCTTTCTTTCTTTCCCCTTCCTTCTTTCCTTTCTTCATTCCTTCCTGGTGGTATCTTCTCTTTAAAACTATTTTATACTGAATATATTTCAGTGTATTCAAACACAATGTCTGCACATGTTTATATGTAACACATAGCTGATAATCCCTTAGATATTTTTATTAATTACTATTATATTACATGATGTCTACATCAAATATATAATACTTAATGGGTAGTGGGAAAATGCCTTAGGTGAAACAGTGCAGTGATTTCATTACACAGACTATAAGTGTGGTGCAGCTATCAGGAAAAATCTGGCTGAAAGACAGGCTTGGAGCACATCTGTTCTGATTCTTTATCTGTTTTCTATGGGATAGCAAACTGTTCCTCAAAACTGCATACTATCCCAGACAAAATCACTAGGTTTGGTATCTTTGTTTGCTTGTTTTGTTTTTTCTGGGAGCTTTAATTCCTGCTTCTCCTATCAGTTGTGGTAATCACAATCAAGAGAAACAAGACCATTACAAAATACATGTAATAGAGGTTTTATGAATGAGATTTTAATCCCTGGGGAGGGGAAGGGAGATGGGGTAAGGGACTGGATAGTTGCTGGAGGGGCAGGAGAGTGGGGAGGAAACGGGATCTGGTATTGACATGTGAAGCAAGCTTGTTTCTAATTTAAATTACAAAATCAAAAAAATAAAAATAAAATAATTGGGATTTCAATTTACACAGTAAGAGCACAAATATATAGCACAAAAATACCCCACTTATCCTATTACTCCACTCACTTATCTTTTCTTCAATTATCTAATTTCAATTTTTCCCTAAATAGAGATCCCAAACATACAAAGAAAGCCCCAAATCACTATTGAAGATACATTCAAGAGATGAGGGTAACATTACTCTTCAAAATAACATCTGTGTGCCAGCTTCAATAATTTGTGTCCAAGTACTCTGTAAAATAATCGAAGACGCATTTTCAAAAGGCAAAACAAGTGGTTGTCATATGATGCAGTTGATAGAGCATTATATACCATGCAAGATCCCCTGGATTCAATCCAGCACCACAAAAAAGACAAAAGGAATAATGAAAATCACGAGAGCTGCAATAAACACATAATGACAAATCTAAACAAATGACAAAGTATGTGGGGAAGAACAATGGAGTATACCTGTTATAGAGAACTATTTTACCCCAAAGAATTGATAATGATCTCTACCTCAGAAAATAATTATCTTTCAAAATGGGGTCCTTCTGGAGACAAACAGGTTAAAATGAGGACATTAATGCTGATAGCCTTATAAATATGGAGATTTCAGAATGACTGTGTATGGAAGAGAGACAATGTGAAAATACACAAGGAGAAGATGGCCATTTAACAGTCACATCTACAAGTTTCTAATGAGAACTGCTCTCAGAAAGCCAAACTGAGGAGATGGAGAAGACTTTGTGTGGCCTGGAAACATGGCTCAGTGGAAAGGTGATATGGGATGTCCTTCTGTATGTTGTGAATAGGTGTTGCTTTTATTAGTTGATGAATAAAGCTCTTTTGGCCTATGGCAGGACAGAATATAGCTAGGCAGAAAATCCACACAGAAATATGGAGAAAAAGAAGGCAGAGTCAGGGAGATGCATGTAGCTGCCAAAGAGGTAAGATGCCAGAACATTATCTCTAAGTCACAGCCACGTGGTGATACACAAATTAGTCAAAATGTGTTAATTCAACTGTGAAAGCTAGTCAGTAATATGCCCGAGCCATTGACCAAGCAGTTATAATTAATATGAAGCCTCTGAGTGTTTATTCAGGAACTGGAAGGAGAGTGAAAAACCTCCATCTACAGAAAAGACTCTTTGCAGCTTTTTTGGATTAGAGTTCGATTCCAGCACCCACATCAGATTTCTAATAGCCATCCAGGAACTAACTCTGACACCTTCTTCTGGCCTCTGGGGACACCTACACGTGTGCACATACACACATATGCATATAATATAATACAATATAATACAGAATATATACCATTTCTTTTTTACATTTTAGATTGAATAATTTTATTCCCTTTTTACAAGAAAAGTAAAATGTTTGTTATTTTTATTTTTATTATTTAAAACAATTTTTAAATTTGAATTATTTTGATCATGTTCTTCCCTCCCCCAAGTCCTTCTAGCTCGTCCTCCACTCCCCACCCACCCAAATTTAAGTTCTTTCTCAAAATCCCAATACAACAACAAACACCTGAAAGCCAAGAAAATAAAATAAAACAACACCCCCCCCAGGGGAAAAAAACTGTAACCAAATAAAAGCACAAAGCCCTATGGAGTCCATTATGTTTTGGCCAACTACTATGAATATGAGGCCTGCCCTAGAGTGGTTGATTTACCCAGTGACACTCCACTGGAGAAAACTGATTTTTCTTTTCCCAGACGTATAAACATCGGTTGCTAACCTTTATTCTAGTGGCTAGGTTTTCACTGGCATAGAATAATGGCTCAGCCACTAAGGGCTAGGCCCATAACCAAAACAATTTTTTCTTAAAAGAAAGAATTCTACCCTTGAGTCTTCGGGGAGAACCTGCTCATGCTGAAACCTTGATTCAGGTTTATAGCCTCCAGAACTGTGTAATAATTAATGGCATTGTTTTAAATCACCTGTTATTTGGTACTTTATTAGCACAGCCTGAGGAAACTCATATATTACCCACCCTTTATTTCACAGTTTATAATATGGTTTTACTCAAGACCATTTAATGTATTCTACATCTTAATTCAGATTGGTACTCACACTGCTAAAGTCCTTACAGGAAACAAAGCCATTGGCTACCTTGTAATTCCTTTGAATTTCTATTGTATCATTGCTGTGCCATGCATCTCTCACTTGCCCTCCCTTCATCTCTTCCAGACTCACCCAGGTCTTCTGCTCTTCCTCATCGTCCTAAGAACACGCCACAGTGTTGGCCTCTGGGAATTTTTCTTGCATTGACACTTCTCTTGGCCCAGATCTAGGTGAGAAAACACTATCATAAGAGTGAAAGACTTCAGTTAGCCTCAATAGCCTAGACTTTAAAGTATTTTAAACATTTTTTACAATTTTCATCATTTTAGATAGAAATCTTTCTAAAATATTAAAACAAGCTAATAAACACTATGGAGTTACTGACTTGGGACCATGAAGAACACCTACATTGCATAGCTGTAATGAGTCACAAAGCTATTGAGCAGCAGTGCTGCCACAACTTGCTAAATGCATCCATTCTTTAATTTGAAGCATTCCTGATTTTTATTATTTTTATTTTAGTCCTTTCACTTTGACATCTGTTGATGTGGCAATTCTCTCAATTCATTTTTCTGAATAGCACTGTCCAAGGCTGCCAATTAAACTGGCTTAGAACAGTGTGTGTAAACATTCAGATGGTTTGCCAGAGCTCATTTCCAGGAAGGACCTGTTTCCCAGCAACAGGTACAGGGTCATGTAAAGACCTCCCAATGTCATGCTCTTTCCAGTGGAGCTTAAGCATATTGATAATAAAAGAGAGTGACTATATGCATATATTACATATGTCTATCATGTATTTGTGGTATGATGTACTCATTCTACTTGTTTAATTAATTATTTGGTTAAGAGAAGAGTTTAAATAAATGCCCCAAAGGCCACCATAGCTATTGCTACGTAACCTGCTTTTTTGTTTTGATTTTTAACATTGCTATTATGTTTTCTTCACATATGACATTCTTGTTTGAAATTTTTTGAAGGACTACCTTATAGATTTTTAAGTTTTAGTTATAAGCAATCTGTTTTTCACTTTTGTGTATGTATGATTTTTGAGTAAATAAAAATTACTTAAACTTTAAATGTTTTGATAATTTTGTAAAAAAGCAATTGACATTTGTGCTGGATGCTTTTTATAATTGAGTTGCTCTAAATAATTTTCTTCTTTGCCATTTTCAGTTGTTAACAAAAGTTATGGGACTATTTTTTAACTGAGTGTACTTCTCCCTTAGACCAGTGAAACAAAAATGCATAGAAAAAAACATGTACCTACTATTTAGCCATGCTGTGACTTCACAATGGAATAAACCAAGAGATTTGGAAAGCAACATTAATCATAATGCTGTACTCAACTCCTAACACCAAAAATAAAAGCACTGTATCCTATTGCAATGAAATGCATTTCAAAAATATCTACACATTTTCTATAATTTTCAACTATTCAAAGAAAGGAAGTCACTTCCTTTGAAAATTTCTCCCTAAAGTTACATGTTATTAGATCATTGTGTCTTAACATTTCTTGAGCATGATTATTATGACGGGCAAAAGCATTTTTGAGAGAGTCATGATATAAAGAGGACTCAGACTAGAGACCGCTATTTCAGAATGTATTAAAACTATATGAGGGGCTGGAGAGATGGCTCAGCAGTTAAGAGCACTGATTGCTCTTCCAGAGGTTCCGAGTTCAATTCCCAGCAACTACTTTATGGCTCACAGTCATCTGTAATGAGATCTGGTGCTCTCTTCAGGCCTGCAGGCAAACATATAGGCAGAACACTGAATACATTTAAATAAATAAATCTTAAAAAACTATACGAATCATTTAAATACCTTAAACATATTCTCAAAGTTATATTTGTTTCATATATTATTATATTATATTATACTTATTGGACTGAAATCAAGTCTGAAACATATTTAGAATGCCAAATTTAGAATGCCAAGCATATTTTTAAATTCTAAAAGCAGGGACTCTAGGGAAAATACTATAAAAGTTCTTAAAAGGAAAAGAGTACTCCAATAGCATCAAGACAAAACACTGAAAAAGACTGTCAAGCTTAGCAGTTGACTGATGATGACCCTAGCTGAGATGTCTGTTCTTAGCTATATTTTCAAAAGCATCAAAGTCATTCTTCAGTCTCCTGGAAATTGTCAAATTTGTCTGGAGTTACTGCTACTTTCCAGCTATATCTCTCTTTTCACGAAAACTTTAAAAGCAAAAAGCTACCAATAAACTTCATCCTTTGAATTTGCTCATCCAAGAGAAGTCATTTTATACTTTTTTCTTTCCTAAGCATTTACCTCTTTAGTGACCTGCTTAAATTATACTCATTGCAAGAAACGGAAAATTCAGAATGAGTTGAAAATGTCAGAATATAGTGTTCTGGTTTGTGAATTAAGTGTTCACGAAAAATACCATGTGCTGAAGACTTGGCCTCTGCATGGTGGATACTCCAAATGATGGGAGGTTGTTGGATCTTGAGACTTATAACCTACCAATGGCATAATCTGTTGGTGAACTAATAATTTGATAGCATTATTGGGAAATAGAGCAGCTAGGAGATAGGGCCAGTTGAAGGAAGTGAAGCACATGTTGAAGGAAGAAGAAGATATAGTTGTTTCATGTTATTTCATGCCCAACCAATGAACTAGCGAGCCTTGGGTTGCAGTCTATGAAATCATGAGCCTTGTTTAAAACCTTTCCATTCATTAATTAGTTTGTCAGACATTAACTCACACCAATAAAATGTTTCCTTACCACAACAATAAAATCGTGTTTCCAAGGCAGAGTGGCAGGGGGAGGGAAGTGGGGTGTTATGACTACTACTGACAATAAAACTCAGAAGCCTACTCCCTATCTGTTGCAAAGGTTTGGAGAAGCAGGCTAGAAAATACCTACAGTACTATAAGCAGAGCTTTCTGGATGTTTCTGATGGGTGCGCAGGAGAGCTGAATCTTGACAAGAATGAGAATAGTAAAGACTGGCTTATGACATATGAAATGGGAATAAAGACTCTATTGCAAATTAGACTGGAGTCCACTTACGATACACTGTGGCAAAGAACATATCTATATTCTGTCAGTGTCTTTAGACTTCCAGGAAGGTAGAGTTTAAACATAATAAGCAGGCTAAGCTAGGCATGATGGGACATAACTGTAACACCAGCAATTGAAAAGCAGGGGTATGATAGTTGGGAGATAGGAAATAGACAGAGGTAGGACTGTGGCATTTTAAATTCATAGCTATCCTGGCATAGGCACTAGCTTTTTTTTCAATTGGTTAATATAAGAATTGGAAGAAAAAATATATAGAGGCAACAATTTTATTTGGGACCATGACTAAATACCTGACAAAACAAATGAAGAAATTTCTTTTAATTAGGGTTTTAGGGATGGGATTTATTTTTAAAAAACATCAGCATCATTTAAAAAAGTGAAAGTCTTTATTTTGCTGGATTCAGAAATCAATAAGGCCCACCAACTACAGTTTCTCATTTAAAAGACTATGCCTTCGTGGCACCCTCTTGCACAGGGCTATCCAGAATGTTGTTTTCCCAGGACTTGTAATTCATGATTCTATTTAGCCATTGAAGCACTCAGAGCCTACTGCAGTCATGATGTAAAGCATCTCTGTCTATGATGGCTGCGGAACTTGGTATCTCCCATGGCTTCAGAACTTGGTATCCTCCAGATGACATCAATTTTACAGGCGCACAGAATGCAAGTATTGCATGGAAGCTTCCAGCAATAATTCAGAGGAAAGTTTAGAAGGTCAGATAGTGTATACCAGGATCAAATTCCCCATGAGAAACTTTTAAGAAGACAAAATGTTTAAATTTTTGAGAGTGGGGATAAGGACTTGATAAAGACTCTCCCAAACTGGAAATTTCGATAACATGAAATGTCTACAAAGAAAAGCTTTGGGTAGCTGTAGAGAAACTATGTGTGCTGCAACTGGAAAGGATTAAAAGGTAGTACTGCCCAAGCTATTTGGAGCTTGAGTGATGACATGAAGCTACAGCATTTATTAGCTGTTTCTTGTTGCTTTGACTCAATTCTTCCTTGCTGCATTTTTATCCTTCCCCCTTTTTACATAGGAAAGTAGACACTATCCCATCATGTATGTTGGAAGTATGAAATTTTCATTTTTTTCAGATCTCACAGCTGAGAGCTTGCCTTGAATCTCATATGAGACTTTAAATATAAACTTTTGAACAATAATGGGAGTTTGAAGACTGTGAGAATGCTTGCAGACAGACTAAACACATTTCCCATTATGAGATAGGCTTGAACATTTGAAAGCTAGCAGCCCGATGTGTTGGATTGGGGTGGATCATCCTTCAAGGAATCATGGAAGTATTTTACAAGTTTGAGATCACCCTGGTCTACAGAGTTCTGGGACAGGTAGGGCTACAAAGGGAAATGCTGTCTCCAAAAGCAAAGAAACAGACAAAATATTGGGGGTTTTGTGTTGGGACAGGGGGTCATGACCGGGTTTCCTGAAACTTATGTCTTAGAGCAGACTATGTTATCCTTGAACCCACAGGTATTCCTCTGCCTCTGCTTCCAAGTGCTGGGATTAAAGGCGTGTACTACCACTGTCCAGCTAAGGTTGGGGTCTTTGATTCCCCTTGGACTCGAGTTTTGTACAGGATAATAAATATTGATCTATTTGCACTCCAGTCTGACCAGCACTATTTGTTGAAGATGGCTTTTTTTCATCTTCAGCTTGTGCTGCAAGCTGCAAGATTACACAGCAATTATACAGCTTTTGCATCACGAATAACTTAGAAGAATTAAGGATTCTGAAGGATGAAACCAGTACAAAAGCTGTACCTGGCATTATAATGTCATGAAAGACCTGGGTATGTCTTGCTGTAGATTCTTCCTGTAGCTTATTCCTTGCGATTTACTTCCCACGGTTTAGCACCATCTGATCATTTACTGGGAGCAAATTTCTCCCATGCATTTAGAGTTTCACTGATTACACTCTCTAGCTATGTGTAAATATCTGTTCTCCATTAATAGGTCCTAGTTTACTGATTACATTCCTCAGCTGTGAGAGGCCTGTTTCCCACTATCAGGTTCTTGTTCCCCTCTCCATTGCAATTGCAAAGATCTGCCTTCCTTCAATTATCTTTATTGACAGGCTTTTGGTCAGTGTTTAGGGCCCAGGCAAAAGCATTCCCAAATATCCAAGAACATAAATTACTACATGTCCAAAGTTGTTGATTCA